AACAACTCCAAGGTGACCTTTATCGTTTTGGGGACGCCGACGCATGCAAGAGAGAAGAGATGCTTACCTGGCAGATGTAGTGGCAACACGGTGCAAGAAGGAAGCAGGAGCTCTGATGGTCAAAAGAAAATGTATGTGTCTGCATTTTGGTGAAGGATTCTTTTTCATTTTGCACATTTGGTGAGAAGTGGACCGTGGACCAATGTCGTGTGCTCCTGGTTGTCATCGAGACCTTCGCCATCAGGATTGTGGTATAGATTGTTGTGCCGATGTTTGATCTTACATGGTCACTCCTTGCCTTCGCCAACGTTCATAAGACCTCGACTGTGGTATGCCGTCGTGTTGCCGAGATGGTGGACACTCTGCGCCTGGCCTGGTATTAAGTACACCTGTCCGAGTCCTGATCAGGTTCATTGAAGAAAGGTTATGAGGAGAGAGAGAGGGAGAGAGAGAGAGAGAGAGAGAGAGAGAGAGAGAGAGAGAGAGAGAGAGAGACAGAGAGAGAGATGCAGCGGGCGAGAAGCGGAAGGTCGGGAGAAGATGGTAAGGAGGATAGTCGGGCTTACCTGTCTCGTAGATAAGGGAAACGGGAATGGCAACGTATTTTTCCGTGTTGTAGCGGAAGATTCATTCTCATTCTGAATATCAGGTGAGGGGTAGTGACACTACTCACCGAGAAAATTCTGCCCTAGCCCATCGTCGCAATCCTAACGGCGCTGATTTGTGGTTGGTGTTGCTCATGGTGGTTGCTTTCATCTCGTGCTCGGAGAAGCCGACATGGTCGATCTACTACTGTTGTGAGGCTCACGTTCTCCCTGTTGCTTATTGATCCCGTCGTTGTTCGCGGTTGTTCGCGGTCATTGTATTTCTCTCACGGGCAGCCCTCGGTAACAGTGTCCTGGTTTCCCTATCGAGGACGTGCACGCTTAGGAGAAAGAGAGAGATTGTAGAGAGAAGGAGAAGGGAAGAGGACAAGTTGGAGAGGCGGAGAAGCCGCGAGCGTTTATCTGCTAGGTAGAATAAAGCAGCAAACAACGATTTTGTTCAAAACACCGGCTGTGATCTACAGTGAGAAGGCAAGAGTGAGTATGTATGTTGGCAGTCGAAACATAGCAGCAAACTAAAGCAGGGGCAGCGCATCTGTCAGCAGGATAACGCAGGTGTCCCAATATGAGCTCAATGAGAACAGAACTCTCGTGCAGGGTTGTAATTTCGATTTTTTTTTTTATTATATATTTGAGGAACAGAAAGAGCAGTCATGCTACCTCGAAGTGGTGTATTGTCATCTATAGCTGGTGGGGTGGCTAGTTGTAGCCATGGTAAGTTAGGTAGTCTTGAGTTCTACAACTGGTGGGTCGTGCGAATGAAGGCAGACAACTAGTTTGGGCCGCTGTAACTGTCACTAATGAAGCTCCGATACCATTATAACTATTGAAGCGCGAAACTGATATTCCCACCTCCGTTTTTAATGAGAGATGTTGCGTCCTTCTACCGTTACCGCCACTATCCTATTGCGGGACGTTGTGCACAACCAGTGAGGACACAATGCCTTGTTGTGCCCTTGTTGTGTAGCACCACAGCTGCTGCAGTGCAGTGCATGGCTGCGTTCTGCAGTTTAGTGGACGACAAGTCTTGTTAAGTTTGCACTGAGCTCGTTGTGCATTGTTGTATATCGCTATGTCTGCAGAGCTTGAGGTTGGACATTTGATCTTTGTGCTATGCTAGTGCGCATTTGTTGTTGCATAACTGGGTCGTGCGGACTGCAGGAGCCCGCATTCGAATAGGGCACGAGGGATGTGTTCTCTATTTGAACGCAGTCTTTCTAGGTTGCATAGAGGCGGTTTGGTCAAAGGGAACGACATTGAGGATCTCTAGGAGTGGTCAAAGTCTGCAATTGGAATTACTTCTGCGACTTGAGAGATCGTCAGGAGGTTGCTGCTTACGTCCTTGGTTAGCAGTTTGAGTGCAGCGATTTAAGAGTGTGATCAGACTTTTGCAAACGAGTTACTGCTGCGACTTGAGGGACTATCAGAAGGTGTTACTTGCATTTTGGTTGTGGCTCGAATGACTTCACTGCATCCTTTTGGCCATCATTGCGGGGCCCTCAGGCGCATGAAGATTTA